ATAGAAAGCGCAAAGGCAGCGTGTAAAATAACAAAGCTGTAAAAAAATACAATGAATTACAAGTCTGTAGAGAACAGTGTGCTATTGCAGACTTATATACTGACATTTTAATTACATTATTGTCAGTCGGGAACTAAAGAGGGGCCACTCGAAGGCATGAAACTCCAGGCCTGAAAATGACTCCCACTCCGGCCCTGAGTCCACATTACCCATAGCCAATGATGGTTTTTCTTATGATCTTGACCAAACAGAGCCAGAGAGAGTTCAGACCAGATTTCGAAGGAATATCCTGTATCTCTCTTTGAAATGTCAACACTCTTCATTGTTCTGACCAAAGCATCCATTCCACCAGCCATTGCACACAAGTCTTTCCTCTGAGCTCTCTGTCCTTTTTTTACTCTACCAATTTTGTTTCAAACTGCCTATCAAAGCTAGGAAAAAGGGGAACGGACAAAGCTTTAACTTTTAGTATAATCTTTTGACAAAAGAACCAATAGGCCTTATGTATGTTAACCCACTGTACTGTGGCTTAGCACAGTATATAAAGCCACAGTAATTGGTGCTTTAAACAAACAATACTTAACCCATACCCTCATGTGGTGTTCGGGTCGTTTTTGCTCTGAAAAAATATATATTTTTCCAGAAAATACTAGTTAATGTTATCGCATTGGACTGAAATTTTGTGACTTTGTTCACAAAGGGTATAACTACTTCTAAAAAATTTTTTTATAATTTTCATACTTTTCTGGGGGAGACTTTTCACCTTGTTACACCCGTGATGTTACAGAGCAAAAAGAACCCGGCCTCAAACAAATGCTTATAAATCACTCATTATGCTATATTATCAACAAAGATTGGATTCAATCTTTTTGTCAACTTCTGTTCTTTCATTTAGGACTGGTTTTGTATTTATATTTGCTTCTGATTAATCGTAGGCCTCATTTATCTGAGCGTAGGCACCTAATTTTTTGAGTGAAAAAAGCATTCTTTATGAATAATTTTCACAATATTAAATAAAAACTGATGAAAATTTGCACTGTTTATCACACTAGTGTACTTTAATGTTTAATCAGGGAGTTTGTTTTGAAAGGCTTTTATTTTGTACAAAATGGCACAAAGTCACACTTGTGGTGTTCCCGGTCAAAAATGACCCGGCCTCAAAAAATTGCTTATAAATCACTCATTATGCTATATTATCACCAAATATTGGATTCAATGTTTTTGCCAACTTCTTTTCTCCTGTTCATGTTTGGATGCATGCATACTCACGCTAATACACACACACACACACACACACACACACACACTTATACAAACTATTGGGAGTATTACAAGTTTTCAATTTCATCCTACCCTGAACTGAATCCAATATCATTTCATCAATATGATAGTATAACTCTCTCTTTCTCTCTCTCTCATTCACTCACACACAAACACACACACACACACACACACACACACACACACACACACACACATGAACTGGCTTCACCCTGCTTCACTTCTTTCATCAAAGCAGACACAAGTTTACTAATAAATGCTTTAGCACAAAGACAGAGCATATAAATATTGTTGAACCATGAAATGTTCTCGATATGGCAGTGCTGTTTTTTCATGTCACAATGGTCAGATTTGTTGTTGCATGACATTGTCTGTATGACAGCGTCGGTGTTATTTTTTTGTGACAGTATAAATATTGGTTTGTTGTTCCATGAAATGTTCTCTCTATAAGAATCTTAAAGGGATAGTTCACCCAAAAATTTAAATTCTGTCATTAATTACTCACCCTCTTGTCGTTCCAAATCCGTAAGACCCCCGTTCATCTTTGGAACACAAATTAAGATATTTTTTTATGAATTCTGAGAGCTCTTTGACCCTGCATAGACAGCAATGTAATTACCACGATCAAGGTGCAGATACGTAGCAAGGAGATCGGTAAAATAATCCATGTGACATCAGGGATTCAACCGTAATATTACGAAGCTACGAGAATACATTTTGTACGCAAAGAAAACAAATAACGACTTTATTCAACAATTTGTCTGCTCCAGGTCACCCTGGTGCCATTTTGGAGAGTATCCACTGAATGTAAACTGCGTATGCTATTCTGTGCCAGCTGCGTCACGCGGATACGATGTCTATGTTTTAATATTATGGTTGAATCCCTGATTCTTATATAGAGAACATTTCATGGAACAACAAACCAATATTTATACTGTCGTGTGTGTGTGTGTGTGTGGGTGGGTGTGGGTGTGGGTGAGTAACTGAGTGAGTGAGTGAGTGAGAGAGAGAGAGAGAGAAAGAGAGAGTTATACTATCAGATTGATGAAATGATATTGGATGCAGTTCAGGGTAGGATGAAATTGAAAACTTGTAATACTCCCATAGTTAAAACTTATTTGTGCCATTTTGTACAAAATAAAAGCCTTTCAAAACAAACTCCCTCATTAAACATTGACGCACACTAGTGTGGTAAACAGTGCACAGTTTCATCAGTTTTTATTTAATATTGTGAAACTTATTCATAAATAATGCTTTTTTCACTCAAAAAATGAGGTGCCTACGCTCAGATAAATGAGGCCTACGATTAATCAGAAGCAAATATAAATGCAAAACCAGTCCTAAATGAAAGATAAGAAGTTGACAAAAAGATTGAATCCAATATTTGGTGATAATATAACATAATGTGTGATTTATAAGCAATTTTTTGAGGGAGTACCCTTTTTGCTCTGTAACCTCGTAAGTGTGATAGGGTTCTGAACACAACACAAGGGTTTTAAGCCCACCGGCATCTATAGTTGCCACAGTTTATAGTTGTCATTTTCCTTTTGTAAGTATTTTTCTAGATGTTATCCATGTTTTATTTCTCAATGACATGCAAAAAAACAACCAAATAAAGGATTTCAAGAAAAAAAAAGGGGTATTCACTTCCTTCCTGTCACATGATGCTGGGGATTTCCAGTTTTCAAGTGACAGCAGCAGTTTACAAACTTCTGTCAGTCACACAAAAGGAAGAATGGAAAGAAAAAGAAAAAATAGATTATCTTTTTCTCCCTTTTATGACATTATGTCTTGTAAGGGGTACAATATTGAGGCCCCTTTATCCAGTTTGGATGCGTTTCATTCTAATTGGTCAAGGACCCTAATTCTTTTTATGACTAGTAGCTTATGATTCCATTATAATGTTGAAATTCAGACAAGTAATGAGTTTACATTTACATTATTATATGAAATCACCTACTACAGTCAGCCATTGAATACTATGGGCCTAAAAAAATTCGTAATTTTCTTTCAGGCATACCTTTTTTATTATATAGATGTAATATTTTCTTCATTTAATTATTTTCATTTAACTAACACCTCTAAAAATGAAAATACCTACATGTTCAATAATAAGTAAATAAATAAACAAACACTAATTGGTGTTATACTACACATGATAATTATTTAAATAAGCATATATTTTAAAAAGAATATCATTCATTTCATGAATATCAAGGACTTTTGTCAGGGTTAATCCATTTGACCTAATCAATATGTGCCTATTCATAAAATATGTGATATTTTACATATTTACATCACAAAGTATAGCATGCAAATATGTTTATGTAAATTTATAAAACTACTTGTACCTTCACTGCTTACGTAAGGGAAAGTTCACCCAAAAATGGAAATTGTGTCATCATTGTGTCACCCTCAAGTTGCAAACCTATGAGTTTCTTTCTTCTGTTGAGCACAAAGGAAGATATTTTGCAGAATGCTGGTAAGCAAACAGTTAAATGTGTAATTTTCTTTCAGGTATACCTTTTTTATTATTTAGATGTAATATTTTCTTCATTCTATTTATTTTTATTCATTCATTTTCATTTAACTTTTTGATACACAATACCCTGTTGGGGCAACTTAATGGCTGCACTTTGTTCTGCACTATGTTCCACCATTTTAAGACAAATGGATTTGTTGTGTTTTCATATTCAAGAGATTATAAGCTAGATGCAGCCTTTTTTGGGTTTGCATCGAATGTTCTTGGACTTTAATGCATAATAAATTAGTTTTGTTTGAACAGCAAATAAGCTGGCGACACTTTGGTAGTTGTGTGTGGAGTACTGCAATAGCACAGCAGGAAGTTATGAAGGCGTTGATGAAATGTGCCTTACCCAATAGAAGCTTTCAACAGCAAGAAGTTATGAAGGCGTTGATGAAATGTGCCTTGCCCAATCGAAGCTTTCAAAGCATGTTTCATGGTCTGGACGAACCTTTCTGCTAGCCCATTTGTTGCAGGATGGTAGGGCGATGACTTAATATGTTGTACCCCATTTGGTAGCAGAAATGTGGCCATCTCATGCGATAGAAATTGGGGTCCATTGTCTGAGACAAACTGCACGGGTGGTCCAAATCTACTGAAAATTTCTCCCAACTTCTCAATTGTCTTATCAGCTGAGGTAGATTTCATGATAGCCACTTCAGGCCACTTACTGTGTGCATCAGTGACAACCAACAGCATTTTGACCTCGACTGGGCCTGCAAAATCAGCATGAATGCGATGCCATGGTTTCTCCAGATATTCCCACGGGTGCAGCAGTGCCAGTTGTGGTACATTGCGTATGCTCTGACATGACGTACATGTTCTTGCCTTTTCCTCAATTTGGCCATCCACTCCTGGCCACCAGAAGTAACTCCTGGTGATCTCTTTCATGTGGACCATTCCACAGTGTCCCGCATGTAGCTGTTTCAGCACTGATTTACGCAGAGCTGGTGGAATAATCACTCTCCTTCCCCACAACAAACAGCCTGACTGCACCGAAAGTTCATGGCGTCGAGACGTGAATGGTTTGAGCTCTCTTTCATCATTCTCACCTTTCCCTGTCATGAAAAAATCCATGACCTTGGACAAGACAGGGTCATTTCACGTGCCCTAGCGCACTTGTGCAGCTGTCACTGGGGCCCTTTCCACTTGACTGAAGTAGAAAATTTCAGCCACTTTTGCCTCTTTCACTGAGTCAGTGAGAGACATGGCCCAGATACTCGACTGCAGACTGGAAAAATTCACATTTGTCCTTCCGCACTCTTAATCCGTACTCTTTCAGTCTCTTGAGGGTAGCATCCAGATGCTGCAAGTGTGACTCGTCGTCAGTGCCGGTCACAAGAATGTCATCTAAGTAGCACACTACTCCCGGAAGCCCTGCCAGAATCTGGTCCATCGCTCGCTGAAACAGGGATGGAGCCGAAGTAATTCCGAACGGTAAACGCTCATCCCGAAATAGGCCCTTGTGTGTGTTGATAGTGAGAAGTTCTCTGGATTGTTCCTCATCATGCATTTGCAGATATGCCTGGTTGAGATTGATTTTACTGAATTTTTGCCCTCCAGTCAGTCCCGCAAAGAGGTCATTAATGTGAGGTAAGGGGTATTGTTCTGCAGACAACACTGGATTTACAGTAACTTTAAAGCCCCCGCAAATTCTTAAGCCTCCATCTTTCTTTAGAACTGGAACAATAGGTGTTGCCCACTTGCTGACGCTTACTGGTTCGAGCACACTATTCTCCACGAGTTCAGTTAAGCTCGCCTCTACCTTGGGTTTAAGTGCATATGGCAGGGGCCGGGCCTTTAAGAATTTTGGCTGGCATTCCGGCTCAACAGTTAATTTCACCTTGATTCCTTCCATGCTGCCGAGCTCCTGTTTGAAAACTTCACTGTGTTTCCGAAGGACACCCTCTAAATCCAGTGTTTTCGGTGTCATCATGTGTATGGCCTGCCAGTCCACCTTAAGTTGCTCCAATCAGGAATGTCCCATCAGTGAAGGCAGCTTTTTTGTTTGTTTAGTTCAACTGTTACCTGGTTAAGGCCTTTCATTGTCACTGATTCGCCAGTTTTAAGGGTCACATCAGGTGTTTTGAGTGGCAGGTGGCTCAGTATTTCACTATATATCCCATCCTCGTCGCCACTTTTATTGTATCTTTAGAAAGAATGAACGGCGCACTTAACACATAAGACACTTGCACTGCTTTAGCGTGACTGCTCTCTTTACTGGTTTTTCGTATATAAACTTTTTTACCGGAACACTACCTGCTATAACGTAACACTGCATTCTGGGAGATGTGGTTAAATAAACAACGTTAACAAAATACACAACAGTGACATTTTGTGTGTAATCAGTGTTCGAATTGTGTCAGCCACGTTAACCAGCCCCCCAAACCCCCCACCCCTCCACCCCCAACAGTCCTTTACACATTGCATACATAACTAATATTGGAAAGCAAACATTACATACAAATAAAAAGAAAATGTGCCATGCTATCTCTTCATTCTGTCCTTATTGACAATATTAGTGTATATTCCATTATTTACCATGCATAAAATTATTCCACCATTTTGAGCTTTCTGTTAAACCTACTTTTTAAAGTCCTCCTAAATCATTTGTCCAGTTAACCTGAAATTATGTATCGTCTACATACCCTAAAGAAATGAATGCCTTAATATTTTGATTTAGCCTAGCCACGGCCCCCCTGCAATACCACTACGGCCCACAGTTTGGGAAGCACTGGGATAGAATCTGCCCACACAAACTGAGTGCAAATTGTTACCTCAATTTTATTGAGTAGATTCTATATGTTGTTTTTTTACAATGTAGTAGAAGGTTAACACAATGCCACACTACTTGGAAATGTACATACACATGCACGTTATACATAAAATGGCATATCTAATGACAAGCATGGCATTTATTAGAATGATACGACCAGTAAAGTGATCAAAAAAGTTACAGTCTCTCCGCCTGTCACATATGCCAATGGAGAGGAGCAAGGAACCCGGAGACGAGAGATAAATCACAATCAACAGTCTTTAATAATCGACAGGCGCAGGGAAACACAGGGCAGGATGAAGACACATGTAGCACATAGAGACGTTAGACACCGGACAAGGAAACATGGGGCAGACAACTCTTTAAGTACTGAACTAAACAAGGTAATAAACGAGACACACCTGAAATCAGTGAGACAATGAAATATAGAAGAAACTAGGTCACGGGGAGCATATGGGAAGAAAAGTAACACAAAACAGGTCCATATTCCTGACATATCGCCCCTCTCTCGGAAGGCACGTCCTCACGTCATAGAAACAACGGAGGAAGGGACGGGTGGGACCTTGGGAGGAGGATCGGGAGGTGGACAGACACCAGGGAGGAGGACGGCAAACAGAGTCCATGGTGGACCAGATGAAGGGAGGAGCCAGGGAGGAGACAGGAGGAGCCAGGGTGGACCAGATGGAGGGAGGAGCCAGGGCAGACCAGACAGAGACAGGAGGGGCTTGGAGCTAGCGGTGCCAGGTGGGACCCAGGCCACAGCCATAACGGCAACCCATGGTGGAGCCAACGGAGGGAGGAGTCATGGTGGAGGAAGGGCTAACAACTCCAGGGGGCCGACTGATGGCAGCGGAGCAGGTGGAGGAGGAGCCCTGGTGGAGCCGCTGGGTTGACGGGCCGAGGCGGAGTACTGGACTCTGAGGCTGGAGGCGGAGGCAAGGGATTCTCCAGCCACATCGACGATAGACACTGGCAGACCCGCGGGGCTTGCACCATACTGATGGTGGGCTGAAGGCGAGCATAGGGGTTGCCAGACGACAGCGGTGGAGGAGGCAGGAGCAGGCGGGCGGGTGGG